TTATATTATATACTTTCCTATTAAAAAAAAACACTTCGAAATATACATTTTCTTCTTGATGAGAATAGCTACCGTATTCAAAAATATGCTATTTTTGTGTTAAAATTCTGGATTTTGTATTTTATTTTAAGATATTTTACAAAAGGAATACACTGACTTTCATGAATATTATTTAATTTAATTGACAACGAATAAAATTCATAAGACATAAGAAATTAAACTTTATAAATATATGTCAAATTAAAGCTTACAATAAATACTATAAGATCAAAAAAGAAAATTTGTCCCGATACGTTTTCTTCTATAGAAAAATGGCCGTCGAATTTAACTAAAAAAGAATATTTTTATATAAAAATCAATGTTTAACATGAAATATTTTAATACTTAAAACTGCAATTACTTTTTGAAAAATGAACAAATTTAAATTATTTTTTTTATATTGAAACCTTAGATATTTTCCTTTTATTTGATATAAATTTGTTAAAAATCTGACTCTAAACCTGCTCACAGGGGGAATTCAAAAAAACAATTTCGTTACACAAGTTAAGCTTTTTTAATTTAATTTTTGAAAATGTAAAGGAAATATTGACTTTTATTTAATCTTAAATTAACGCTTATATTATTATTTAGAATAAACTTCATAAGAAGTTAAACTTGTTTAAATTTTTTTGCTTTTTTTAAAGTCGTAAAAGTAACTTTTTAATTTGAATTAGCTTAAATTGCCAAATTTATTAATCGGCGAAAGCGACAAACAGTTGCCGAATAGGCAATACTTGTGTCTTTCACGGTTAAGTATTAGATTCAAATCGACCTGTAGCAGTTAATATTTTTCATTTTTTTTAAATTAGAAAAAATTTTTAAATCATTTGATTTTTATCTCATTTATATTTATTAACTTCAACAAATATCAAGAATCGCATCATTGTGGTCTCCCTTCATGAGAAGATATTTCGTATTTATGTTAATATTATTTTAACATGTTTTTTTTTGTGGCTGCGATTTATTTTTCAACACTCACTTAACCTTCGTTTTTCAACGATACGTAAAATGATTTCAATTCGTATTTAATTGAAGATATTACCCACAAAAATTAAAAAAAAAAATCCTTAATCAAATAAAAAGTACCTTAAACAGCTTTATCCATACAAACAATTAAAATTATTCATTTCTAATATTTTTAAAATATTTATTGTTGAATTAGATTTGATATGACAAAAGTATTCAACTATAAAATTAAATAATTTTACTTTGAAATTTATTAATTTTTTAACTTTATTTGTGTGTGCTACTACCCGTCTATAACATTACAATTTTTTTTGTAACATATTCTTATATAAATATAAATTAAAAAAAAAAATAATTTTTAGTTTCACCTGAATTTAACAATGGATTTTTACAATTATAATCGAAATTTGTAATTTATAATTATAAAATTTGTAACTGAGCATAGCTCAATTGAGTAGATCTTTTTACACAAATTTTTTTCATTGGTTTTTAGTTAAAGTAAATCATTAAAATTAATCGAGTTCAGTATATTTTAACTGTAGAATCTTTTTAAACATCAAAAGTTAATTAGAAATTATTACTATGATTCTTATTTAAGTGATCTATTACGATAAAAATACCAAAAAAATCGAGCTTTTCTGATAAATTTACTGTAAATAGTAATTATTAAAAATTTTCTGATTATATATTAATCTTAACAATACCATTTTTTTCTGTTTAATGATGTCAATTGCAAACATGCAAGTTAAGCTAATAGTTATAGTAATAAATTCATTTTTTTTTATAAATTTTCACTTTATAGGACAAAAATAAGTAGGTTAAAAATTATTATTTTAACAAATTAAAAATAAAATCAATAATAATTTTTTCAACTTACACCGGATTGATTTTGATGATCTATGCGTCAAAAACTCCACATTAAATCTTGTTTAAAATGTCTTCTTTTAAAGTTAAAAAGAAAATTCGTCAATTTTTGACATTTAGAAAATTATTCTAAAGTTTAGTAATCTTTGAAAACAACAAAAAAACACAATTTTTTTCTGCAATTTAAAATTCTTACAAAAGTGAAACTTTTATAGAGTATACTAAGTACAATAAATTTTCTTTTGGTATACCTTTTGTAAAAATATAATGAAAACCAAGAGTTTAAAAAAAAGTCATGTTTTTTGGAAACCACTCATGTTTGTAAATTTTTTTTTATTGTAATTTTTGAAACTGTTATGATACATATGTATTCTTTATAGCTATACAAAATAAAGCTCCTTAAACGTACTTCATAAAAAAAATAATAAAAGCTTTTCTTATTATATTACTTCAAGTGAAATCGACCGTTAAAAATCGAAATAAATTGTTTATAGGTGAATATAAGGAGCTTGGAGATCTAAACCCTTAATTTAAACCTTTTTCCAGAAAAAAAACTCAAACTATGACATGTATTAAATAAAAATTTTAATTTATTATAACCATAACATATATAAAAAACCCAGCACAGGGGGGTCGCGGCACAGTGGTGCCGTGGTATAGTTGGATCAAGTATAATGATATCTGACAGAGATTAAAATCACTAACAAAAAAAAAAAACGCTTCGATGCAAATCTTTAGATAGTGTTCAATTTTAAAAAATTGGTGGATTATTCCAAAACCTACATGATCTGCTAGTTCCTTAGTAATATCCTGATTAAGATAAAGTATGTCGAATAAAAAAGGGTTTATTAAAAAATATTATTTCTCATAAAAAAATTGTATGGATCCATTCACTATTCAATAAGTTATAACATTATAAAATTAAATTTAATATAATAAATAAAATCGAGAATTTTTATACGAAATTAGCATTCGGTAGCCATTTTCGCCGTGAAGATAAGTCCAGAGGTCAACTTTTTTTTATTCAAATTAAAGTATATTACATTAACTTTAATTTAAAATATATAAAAAAGTGTCAGACTTTCCGGAACATTTTCAAAAGTTAAGTTGAAAAAGTTAATTTTTTGTGAAAAATTTGTCTTTATAAATCCCTCCCTGTGGGCAGATAAAGGGTCAAATTTACAAAAAAAATTAATCAAATGATATGTGAAGACATCAAGCATCTACAAAAAAAAAATTATATTGATATGTTCATTTCTGAAATGAATTTATTCATTTACGGCACAGTTTAGTGAAAGAAATTGAAAAAATTTCGAAAATTAACGATTTTTAAATTTGTAATTTTTTTGGAGGTTTCCCCCATTTACGGCGAACGAGGGAATGTTTTTCAATTTTTAAGGGTAATGTCTTCGACTAGATACGATTTGTGATATTTTGACGTATTGTTAAAAGAAATCCGTTTGGTGAGAGCTGAGAAAAAGTGACAACAGGCACAAAAAAAAAAAAAAAACACATCATAGTAAAACCAATACCTTCTCAGCTTCGCATCGAAGCTAAAAAACTGAAAATCTCTATCAAAATTTACATCAATTGTGTTCTTTGATTGTGATTATAATCATTGATAGATTTCAATATATATTATTGATTATATTATATAATAATAATATAATAAAATAATATATATTATTAATATATTGTGATTGTCGCAGAAACTGAAAAAAATTGTATAAAATTCATAGAAACCAAATTTTAGTAGAAAATTATGTTAAAAATATTAAGATTTACTTTATTAATTTCTAAATTCAAATTTTACAATATTATTTATCTTTTATTTTTAGGGTAGTTAACTTAAGAAAACTCATTTTGAGTATTAATGAAATTTACAAATAGATGAATAATGTATATGTCATTGAGGTTTTAAAATCAAGTTTTGTATTATTTGTCTACTTTTTTCAGTTTTTAAATAGAAATAAATATTCTTTTGATTTTGTTTCAAAATTTAGTAAATTGTATAGTTTATTATAGTTTTTTTCACTTTGGAGATTATAAATAACACATCGGATTTCATATTCAATTTTATTTTTAGAGTATCTATCTATATATTAATGAATAAGATTTGATCTAACTTATAATACTAATTTTAAAATCCTATTCATTTTTATAATTTTAAATATATGGTAATTTACAATATAACAAAATTCATATGTTTGGTACATGTTTAATGAACACCAAATAAAATTTAATATTTTAATATTTTAAAATTTTATTTTTTAAGTTTGGATAATATACAACACGTTTATGTTGGAGCATTCTGTGGCGCAGTGTATCATTCAGTCACCGCTTTAGTACTGATGTTCAGCTAGTCTGTTTGTTGTTAGTTCTTTAATGGTAGACCATACGGAAACTTTAACAGTGACACACAAATAACATCTATATTGAGGCTGCCTCAGTCAAAATGGGGTAGCGCCAGTTTCGCCAGCCGGTGTAAAAATCCTATTGAATCAATAAGGTAGTACAGACCCCAAATAATTGGAACAGAGGCCAAGGAGATGATGAGGTACAATACGTTAGTGATCTGTATACAAAAACCATGTAACGAGATAAAGAAAAGTAGTGTATATAAAGGATATTTATTCTCGTCATACATAGTTATCTCATTACTTTAATATTTGATATTTGTATTAGTATTAAAATGGTTTTAATCAATTTCAGCACGTCATTTATAATTCGTCAAACATATGAATAAATAAAATTTAATCTTGTAATATTAAATTTTTCGTTATTTTTTAATTCTACCCATTGTGATCCGCTGTAAAAATAAGGCGATTTAGACAATCGACAAAGAAACTGATCAGCTATTGACACTATTCATTATATTTATGCATATTCTATTTATTAGATAAATAATAAGCTAAAATAATAATAAAAATATTTTTTGTTATAAGCATAAAACATTATAAACAATTCTTGTAAATTACCTGCATTTAATTACTTAGGGGATCTGAATTAGATATTGCTTGTAATATATATACACTCATAGTTTGTTAAATAATTTAAATAATCAATGCACATGGATTTCATAATTTATAATTCATAATTATACTGGTAAATTAAAAAGTACATACATACAATAACCGTTCAAATATTATTTATTTTTTTATTATTTAAAACTCAAAATTATAATTCGATTTTTATTAATTGAATGATCTAATTGAAAACAATTATAAGTCATTTTGATGATTTTAATAAAAATAGTATAGATAAAGCAATCTTTCTTTTTCTGTTTCTTGCGGCTCCCGATAATTAGTTTTTTTGTATTCATCGCTAAATTGTTTGAACGACCAAAAAACACTAAGTTTATGCTTAAATATATTAATAAAATACTCTAAAAATATATTGAACCTTTCGAAGTTATCATTCAAGCCTTTGATATCAGAAATATTTTGAAAATTTCTTATTTCTTCTTCTTTTTTTTCGCTGAATTGAACTAATTTCATTAGTTTCTTAGTTTTCTTAATTGAATCCATGTTATATTGTTTGTTATCCACTTCTAGTCGTAATATTTCAAATGACTCAACAAAATGTGTTTTTTCTATTATTCTTTCAACTTTTCCAATAAGACCAGAATTTACATCATCATAGGTTATAGAATACCTACTACTTGGTTTATGTAGCAAACTTGAATTGAACTCTGTAAATTGACGAAACAACAAATTAAATGTATACATATTACGTTTCAAGAACTCATGCATTTGATTGTTATAATCAAATGCAATTGTTTCATCTTTATTTGTCAAATACATTAGATGCTTTCTAATTAAATGAAGAATTACGACTCTAAAAATATTAAAGATTTTGTCATGATAAACTCTAATTTTTGAAATCCATACATCAAACCAATAATAATTTCGGGCAGCTTCATATGCTCTATAAATATCATTGATAATATTATTATAACTTTTTTCGCTTTGTTCTCCGAAATCCTTTATTATAGTTTTCAAAATATCTGTATTTTGAATAATTTCGTAAAGATAAATTTTTCTAAGGGAAACCCAATCTTCTACTTCCTCACCGTTCAGTAAAATATTATTAATATTATTTCTATTTACCATTACCGTCATTACGTCTTGTATCATTGAAATTTTCATTTTTTCTTCTAGTTGAATTCGTACATATCGTTCTTTGTACAATTTAGCTGATAAATTATATTTATTATTTTTTCGACAATACTTAGTAGTATATAACAATAAATATTTCTTTAATTTTTCTAGAATTTCCATAACATCTAATTTCACCGATAACTTATTGTCCATTGTCTGGTTTTTTAAATAAATTGCAAACATGTACATGATCCAATAAGGCTGTAAAAATTTTGTTAGATGTATTTTTAGTTTTACAGCTATCATTTGTTGAATTATTGATTCATTCAACAATAAATTATTGAATTCATCTTTTTCATAAGTAGAATTATGTTCAATTAAAGATTGAATAAGTTCAGTGTAATATAAAAAATTATATAAATCACCGCAATAAAGGTCGTTGTACATAATTTGTGATCTAATAGACAAATTAAGTCCTGGTTCTACGTCGTCAAGTATCTCATCTTTCAATTCTTCTAAATCCATTTCAAACATTTCAGGGTTAATATTATAAGAAAATCCAGTATCAAGATTGAATGCAACTTTAAGTTCTTCAACTTTATCAATAATTTCTAGATCCTCCGTATGAAAACTACACGTGATAAATTGTATATTACATAATATCACAAAAAAGATTGTTAACACGAAATATTGATTAAAAATCATTATTAGTATATCAATTACTTAATAATACTAATGTATATCTTCTCAAGAAGAGTACTTTTTGGAAAGTTCACATACAATAAATTTTAGATATTTTAATCTATGGTTATATTTATATAAAAATGTATTATATTGAACACTATATTTAAAAAATTGTGTGTTTTAACAGTTTAAAAGTGATTTATTGTCACAGTCATAATTCAAGCAGAATTTTTTACCTAGTATACAAAAAATAAAAAATTAATCGTGTGTTATAAATTTTAGTAAAATTATATTGTTTAATATGTTTAGCCAATAATTTATGATACAAACTAACTCTTGTATGTATGTACTATAAATATATCAAATAACAAAATAGACTTTAATCATATTAACACATTTAGAAAAAAATTTAATATGTATAATTAAGATATGTATGCTATAACATTAAAAACGTATTACTTACTTAACATCGTATTAAAATGGTTGTTACTAAATGAATACGTGCCTTAATATTGTTATCGATTCTTTTAAAAGTGCTTTAAGAAAAATACTAATAAATGGCTATTTAGAAATTTTGAAAAATAATAAAATGTATTTTTATTATTTGCTTATTAGTGATAAATAATAAAAATCATATTTTTAATGTAAATATTTTAATTATTAAAAAATAATTAAACAAAATAATATTTGTATCAAAAATTTAAAATACAATACTTATTATGTTATACCCGAGTCGACAATGTATACTTTATAAAAATAAAAATCTTATTATATTGTAATGGTACATTTTGATAAATCAAATACCATTGCAATTTAATAAAAAGTTGAAAAATCAGCCAATGCAGGAAAAATTACTTAAAAATGTCCGAAATTTAGGTGCTCCGCCTCAGGCCTGAGGCGGAGCACCAGCTTGGCAAAGTATAATAAAGAATAATTAATTAGAAATGAATTTTTTCATTTACTTATATGATGATTAATGGCTCAATAATTTTGTAAATGATATTTATTTGGCTTAGTTTACTATTTGCAATGTTTATTTTATATCGATAACGTACATGCAATAAAATATTGTAATAACATATTTAATGGTCTTGAGGCAATAATCAGATTTGTCCATTGTTTTCAATTTTTCAAGAAATGCTATTTTTTTTACAAATTTTCCATTAAAAGCAACGGGAAAATGTTTTTAAAAATTAAATATTTCCACAAATAATAGTAATATAGAACTAGTTTTGTATTGAATTACGCATAAAAATGANAATTAAATATTTCCACAAATAGTAGTAATATAGAACTAGTTTTGTATTGAATTACGCATAAAAATGATATTTATAAAACAAATACAAAAAATATTTCAGTACGCAATATGTAAATATATGTTGTTCTATTTACTCTAATACATTGCAAAAAACCTGTGGAACATATTTTTATACGATTAATGGTTACAATTGCTCAAATAAATTATTTTAATAGTAAATAATTTAATATTCTTGCACAGAATGTTTTTTCCAATATCTCGAAAAATACTTATTTGGAACATCTAATTATTATTTTATAATTTATTTGTTAAATATAAATGCATTATTCAGCCAAAGATAATCAAAGTTGATACTAAATATTTTAAATACTCATATCTTGTATTGGACATTTTTTTTATGAAGTATTCCTAATTATGATATAAATTATAAAAACACTTAAGATTTTTACTCGAAATATTATTTTTTTTTTTTAAATTTGGCATTTAGAATATATGGCATTCTTCAAAATCTTCAAGCAATAAAGACTATATAAATTGAATTATTTAGATTCATTAATGTTTTTTTAGGTTAGATTAGAATTTTAAAAAAAATTCCCATAGTATTTAGGAATATATTCTGCTCGTATATGATAATATTCATCCGATGACTATAATTTCAAATTTATTACTTTATAGTAAATTTTTTATTTTTAGCCATCAAAAGTTTAATTTAATTGTGCTGTGCGCCGTAATATACTTGATACTATCATAACATGAAATAACACAAGGCTATCCACAATAATGGACTTTTATTTAACCTTTTAGTGTACAATAATAAACAATTCTATTAATATAATATTAACATTATCATTCTTTCCAAAAAGAAATCAATATATTATTTTTGTCATCTTTTTTATTCTAATTTTAATAATTAAACGCATTGTATAAACCCTAATCTTAAGTGTAAAAAAAATTATGTTATGTAAAATGATTTGTATATTATTCATCTGTAATAATTTCTATATATTATGTTTACTCTTTAATAAAAAATTATGTTGTGAGAATGAGACAACGATGATTATCGGGGATACAAAGTATTATAATAACACCAGAGCAAACCTTCATACGGCCCAGTTCATATTGTGCACTTAACATTGTACGCGAACATTGTGAACATCATTGTCGAATTTTTTACGTATTAAAGTTGTGAACTAAATCGAATTGTGTTATTTGTGTTATCAATCATTAATTAGTACTATTACTTAAGATATTACAAGAACCAAGACAAATTATTTGATACAATTTTAAAAATCAATTAAAGTCAATATTTATGTTATTTTATGACCCTCGAATCACAACCCGAATCAATTTCTCTTAAAGTATCAATTTTGTTTTTATTGGCTTTTGTTAGTCTCCATTTGTCATAACAGAAACACAAATTATTTGTCGGGTTAAAATCTATTAAATTTATCAAATCGATGTTGACCACCTCTATAATTATGTTTTATGTGATATCATTTGTTCTATATTAAAAACTCTGTCAACCTACAATCGGTTTCTTGTGAACAATATCAATTGATAAATTTACATTTACAAAATATTATTGGCATTGTATGAAAAGCGTAACCAAAAGGTGTTAATAAGAATCAACTTAAGATATATTATAGTTATATGGGTTGGTTGATGCGTGATCGAAAATAATGTAGGCGATATCAGAGGTTACACTAATAAGTGGCGTTGAGTCGTTTATTTATTGTAAAAAAGAAAACAACGTAACAGTACACCATAACCTATACCAGCGTTTCCCAAACTTTTGTTTGAGCTGGCCCGGTAATTTATACCTTCATGACCCACCAAAATATTTTACGTTTGTAATTGTGTAATAAAAGGCAAAATAAAACACATTTACAATATCTACAAAGAATTTTTTAATAAAATTTACTTGTTTTTCCTGTGTTTTTTTCGCATATTCGAGATGAAATTATTTTCATTGCCGGAAGTATTAATTATTCACCGATTGTGTGTGGATAACCCGTTTCAGCAATTAATTTTGAAATTTCATAAGAAGCCAATACAAAGTTTTCAGTTTGAGGACTAAGTGAAAACATTGAAGTCATATTTTTTTTGACACTTTTTAATTGTCTTCTCCTGTTAATGAAAAAAACTATAGGCTTTTCTTTGTATTCAGGATGATTCAATTCTAAATGCCTCTTCAACTTTGAAGGCTTCATGGACTCGTTTNTTTTTTACCTTCATGACCCACCAAAATATTTTACGTTTGTAATTGTGTAATAAAAGGCAAAATAAAACACATTTGAATATCTACATAAAATTTTTTAATAAAATTTACTTGTTTTTCCTGTTTTTTTCGCATATTCGAGATGAAATAATTTTCATTGCCGGAAGTATTAATTATTCACCGATTGTGTGTGGATAACGCGTTTCAGCAATTAATTTTGAAATTTCATAAGAAGCCAATACAAAGTTTTCAGTTTGAGGACTAAGTGAAAACATTGAAGTCATATTTTTTTTGGCACTTTTTAATTGTCTTCTCCTGTTAATNCATATTTTTTTTGACACTTTTTAATTGTCTTCTCCTGTTAATGAAAAAAACTATAGGCTTTTCTTTGTATTCAGGATGATTCAATTCTAAATGCCTCTTCAACTTTGAAGGCTTCATGGACTCGTTTGAAAGTTCTGCATTACATATTACACAGAATGGTTTGTTATCATCGCCCTCGATGAAGCCAAATTGAATGTAATTTTCAAAATACTGTCGAGTCCAGGCCTCCTTTTTTTTCGTAAGAGAATTACTTTGCAAATCGGACGACTATTTATTAGAACCAATATTAGAACTTGTACTTACATCACTCGACTCTTGGTTGGTGTTTCTTATGGAACCGGTACTTGGTTTTATTAACCACTTATCCATTATAAATAAACGTGAGAAAATAAGACGCGTATACGTATTACAATTTTAATAATTCGTCGTAGANTTTTTAATTGTCTTCTCCTGTTAATGAAAAAATCTATAGGCTTTTCTTTGTATTCAGGATGATTCAATTCTAAATGCCTCTTCAACTTTGAAAGCTTCATGGACTCGTTTGAAAGTTCTGCATTACATATTACACAGAATGGTTTGTTATCATCGCCCTCGATGAAGCCAAATTGAATGTAATTTTCAAAATACTGTCGAGTCCAGGCCTCCTTTTTTTTCGTAAGAGAATTACTTTGCAAATCGGACGACTATTTATTAGAACCAATATTAGAACTTGTACTTACATCACTCGACTCTTGGTTGGTGTTTCTTATGGAACCGGTACTTGGTTTTATTAACCACTTATCCATTATAAATAAACGTGAGAAAATAAGACGCGTATACGTATTACAATTTTAATAATTCGTCGTAGACGCGCATTGCTGGACATCAAGGTTCAAGCTGAAATAAATATTTAGCCATTGCTATGATATGCCTATATCGGTAATTAATTTGTAGATAACGGATAACGGATTAGTGCCGTAACAACCAACGACACTTGTCATTCATTTAATACTATTATAATGTATTTATAGATACGGCGAATGTCATACTATTCGGGTTTTTCATGAAGCCTAGTTGATAATCTCAATAATTATTATTTATGTTGTAAATAATAGTTATTCCTATTAATGAATTTATTTTTACTTAAAAGTTTAAATTATCAAACGAAAATGATAAATAACAAATTTAATATGAGAATTTCATTAAATTTTGCGACCCGGTATTAAATTTTTTAAGGCCCGGTGGTAGGTCGCGACCCAGTATTTGGGAAACGCTGACCTATACAATCAATTTAATGGAGATTAAGATGAAATTACAAAGATAATGAAATTAAACGCTGACGTTATGTTGGTGCGGACGGTAGATGGACACGTCGAGCGGTATTCAGGCGGAACGTAGCTGTATCATCAGACACAGTCCTCGATAAGACGACTTAAAGGTAAGTTAGTGGCGGGTCGTCGTCTGCCATGTGGCATTTGATGGACTTTGTACCGCGGCCTATCGTACGTGGTGTTAGTCAGTCAAACTACCATGTACACCTCTAATAGGGTGACGGTTATCAAAGATGGCAGTGGTCGCGGGGCTCTGTGTATCGTGTTTGCGACGCGGGACACTGTCAATAAGAATACTAAAACGAGTAATGAAAATAAAAGTGAGAAGAAGCTTTAGTACCCTTAGAGATAGTCACTCTAAAATTTCTTGTATTTTTTTTTGTAAAATAAAAAATGGCTTAGTCTATCCAAAATATTTTCATCACGAATTTTATTTATCGCGAAAGTTTTTTTATTTTATCCCTCCTCATAAAAATTATAAAATAATGATTTATACTCTTACAACCGATTTACTACACTTATCAATAACTTTGTACCAGCAAATTTCTTATTCTCGAAAAAATAATACGTTACCAACTAAATTAAAGGTTTTTTAAAAACTTACTGAACTGGAAGACCTAATGTGAGATATAAATTTGTGTTGCTTTTGTCGTGAAGGAAGNCGTCTGCCATGTGGCATTTTATGGACTTTGTACCGCGGCCTATCGTACGTGGTGTTAGTCAGTCAAACTACCATGTACACCTATGATAGGGTGACGGATATCAAAGATTGCAGTGGTCTCGGGACTCTGTGTATCGTGTTTGCGACGCGGGACACTGTCAATAAGAATACTAAAACGAGTAATGAAAATAAAAGTG